CTTTGTTACAAGGAAATATAAAATTTTCTTGGAACGTCTGTTTTTTGTGTTGGCAAAAGGATCAGCGGAAAGAGTTTGTCATGATATATGCAGATATAAATTTGACATTGATCTAAAAGAAAATGTATTTATTGTCAAGATGGAAAAGGCAGAACATGAAGCAGTTGTTAAACGGTTTGAAAAATATTTTAATGTTCCCAATGGAGGTGTTATTGATAATTCTTCAATAGATGTTATGGATGCTTTAGGTAAGAAAAATTCCTTTGGTTGTTTAGGTATATTGTCATTTTATAATCTTTTCATGTTCTATAATAGCTCACTATCGTCCATATGAAGGAGGGAAACCATCAATATTCAATATCACTATATATCCAAGTTTAAATATTATTTCAAAACCGCCTGCTCCTCCACCTCCATCCCCACAACATAGATTGGGTCGTGCAGGGCATCCAAGAGCTCCCCAGTGACATCTTGAGATTCTCTCTGTTGATAAATCAGTTTGTTCTGGCATATTAGATTTTTTTTTCTTAATTCTTTCTAGTCTTATAAGTAATTGTACAGGGAAGACCACATATATATATAATGTGTGAAATTGTTGTGTTTCAAAGGTATGGGAAATGAAATGCAAAGTGTAGTAGTCTCTGGATGCAATAGCAATATATAATATACGTACTTGGAGTTAAAATTTATGACCAAAAAGCTATACGAAATAATACTGAACAGTTGGATTGGTATATAATTGTACATGTTATATAGCCTATTTATTATTCGATAATTTCAAAAAAAAATTTATTTCTTTTCTATTTCTGATTTTAGGCCATATTCTGGACACGTCAGGCAACACCAATACCAGGAAGACACATAGCAGTAACAGGATAGCCAGGAGTATATTATAAAGAGGTAAGATTAGTACGCCATTTATGTATAATGACAAATATCTAATATAAACTTATCAAAGTTTTTATAATGGAACTTCGGTACTCTCGATTATTACACTAGTGCTTCTACTGCTTGCACAGGACCAGATCTTGTTAATTATCAAGTTAACATCTTGGCACAAGAAATATTTTGGAACCCACCTATCGTTGAAGGAGCTCCTTCCATAGTTGGGTATATAATTACGGTTCCTGATGCTGTCACTGCTCCTAATTTCATTATAGATTTGTATAGAATCTAACAGGTGGTTTTACAAAATCAGGATAATTAGAAGATATATACAAAAAAATCAACATCAAATAATACTTGTAATACACCTTTATAGTATTTTTTTTAAACAGAGGAATTCCAAATTGTTCTGTCAAATTTAATTCTACCACTCAAATATATTCTTAAGCATTAAATTTGCCACCTCATTCTTCTATCTGGTTTAAGATTGCTCAAAAGCACTACTTAAGTAATTATTAATTTCTGCTTTATAATTTGTTTATTTCACAACCAATCAATTCTTGTATTTTTTTTCATATCTTTTCTTTATTAACTGGCTTGTTATCTACAAGAAATTTTGTAAGAGAACATAATAAAAATTTGAATTGTCCACATTTGTCAAATTCATTTTCAAGTAATTTCCAAAAAAATTTTCTTTGGCTTTCTAACATTTTTTTAATATTTCTTCCATTATCTGGATTATATCTTGAAACTTTGCATTATACACAGCTACAGCTTGCCTTTTTTGTGCTGGTTTCATATTTTGCTCTTTAAATATCAGTCCTTTTTCATAATTTCTAGTAATTATACTTAAACATTTGAATTTCTCATTTGCTTGGTCTATTTCCAAAGGAATCTTTTTAGATTGTTTGTTTTTTTCTTCCCATTATGATTGAGTTTTTGAACCTGGACTAGCTTTAGTAGGCTCAATTATATTTTGTAAATATGACTGTAAACCTGACTGTGATACTTGTCTTTCTATCTCAATTTCAGATTTTCCAAAGAATTCTTGTTCTTCTTTTGTTAGCTTTATAGGTTCTATATTGCCATATGCTTCGTTATCTATTAACAATAATTTATTATAAAGTAATTTGCATTCCTTTAAATTTTTCAGTTGACCACAATCCTTTAAACTTAAATACATAATTCTTTTTCATAATCTTGATTCCCATTTCTAGACAGTTTCTTCAGATAATCTATCATTAGTATTTTTTTGTCTTTACTACTTTAGACAACAATTCAGAATTTTACTTTGGCTTTGGCAATGGTTCTGGATTTTGTATCATTTTAGGTATATGTATGGGTTCAGAATTCTGGGGCAAAAGTACTAGAGAAATATGATGTCTATAAGGATTCTTTCTATTGAGATACTTAAAGTTTTTGTGGTGTTGCTTATGTATGTTCACAATATTCACACATTCTATTTTTCTTGCCTTTTCTAGTTATAGGTTAAGTATAATAGTTGTAATATATTAACTCTAACTTTTGCACTATATTTTACTTATACAAATTCTTTTCTTTAAATAATTATTTTTATATTCTTTATTAAAAAATAATTGTGTATTTCTGCCCTATATTTATAATTCCAGAAAAATGTGTACTAGATCTTACATTTGACCTGAAGGATACCGGTTTCATTGAAAGGCTAAAAAACGCACCCCTTGTAGTAATTGTGAAAACAAGAAAGATCTTATGAAAAAATAATTAATACTACATCAGGAAATTTTTTTGGTGGAGATCTCCGGAGATCTCCACTCAAAAAAAATTTTCGAAAATTTCCGGAGA